AAGTACAACAGACGGCCAATAAGACGACGATATTTTGCGGCATCCCGAATCTCAGCACTAGTAGAACGGGCGAGATTATGATTGCTGGGTAGTGGAGTGTCAGCAGGCTTGCAACCAGAGAGATTGTATTCTTGAAGAATATCCAATGTATACTTGTGCTGATTAAGAACCATACCAGTGGAGGACCGAGCACACTCAATACCCAGAAAATAAGAGACATGACCAAGGTCTTTGAGCTGAAAACACGCATCCAAATACCTCTTAAAAGAAGAACACAAGGAGGGATTATTGCCTGCAACAAGAATATCATCCACATAAACAAGAACAACAAGCATATCAGGGCCCTGACAAAGTACAAAAAGAGTATGATCAGCATGGGCCTGTCGAAAACCATAACAGCGTAGTGCTAGACGGAGTTTGGAAAACCAATTACGGGGAGACTGACGCAACCCGTATAAAGACTTGCGCAACCGGCAAACCTTCCTAGGAAACAAATGAGAGTACCCAGGGGGGAGCTTCATATAAATCTCATCCTAAAGATCCCCATGTAAAAAAGCATTGTTGACATCCAACTGATCAACCTACCACCCTCGTGCAACTGCGATAGACAACAACACCCGGACTGTGGCCAACTTAGCCACGGGGGCAAAAGTATCAGTGAAATCAACACCCAGCTCCTGGTGGTTCCCCAAGACGACCAAACGCGCTTTGTCCTGCTCCTTGGTACCATCCGACCTATACTTGGTGCGGTACACCCACTGACAGCCAAGGGCCTGCCGATTAGGAAGAAGGATAGTGATCTCCCAAGTACGGTTCCGCTCCAAAGCGGTAAATTCCTGTGCCATAGCTTCCCTCCAAGAGGCAAATTTGACAGCCTCACGATAAGACGTAGGAACCGGAGAAGCATCAATAGCACCAATAAAGTCTTTGTACCTGTTATGTAACTTATCATAATGAACATAGTTAGTAATTGGGAACCGCGTACCAAACGAGACGGAGATAGATGAAGAGAGAAACGGAGTGACGGTAGTAGCGGAATTGAGGACATAATCATTAAGATGGGAGGGGAGGCGACGTATACGGGGAGGCAGAGGAACGGGAGACGGTAGGGACGAAGTGGTGTCACCCGTTGAGGAGACTGGAGACACGGAGGAAGGCTGTTCGGGTGACGGTGACAGGGACGAGACTGGGACAGGGGATGGAGATGGTGACTATGGCTGCTCGGGCTGTTCGGTGTCACCGAGGGAAGCAGCCGGCTGGGATACGACTGGGAAGTCAACATTGGCGGGGTTTAAGATAGGTTGGACGGGACGGGAGGTGGACGGGATAGAGAACGGAAACTGAGTTTCATCAAACACGACATCCCGAGTGTGAAAAAATTGGTGAGTGTCGAGATTATATACCCGCCACCCTTTGGTGCCATATGGATACCCGATGAACATGCATTTCACGCTACGGGAAGAGAATTTGTTTAGGGGTTTGGGTGTTTGACGAACAAAGCATAAGCAACCAAAAACTCGGAGATGACTTAAATCTTGTGATTTAGACGAAAGTACCTCAACGGGAGATTTCCCACCCAAAAGTTTTGTCGGTGTTCGGTTAATTAAGTAAACAGCAGTTTTGACACATTCCCCCCAAAATTCAATAGGAAGAGACGCCTGAAACATGAGAGAACGAGCAACGTTGAGAATATGACGATGCTTTCGTTCTACCCGACCATTCTGCTGAGGGGTACCAACACACGACGTTTGTATACAAACACCCATGGAATCATAATACTGGCGCAAAGGGGCATTTAGGAATTCTGTGCCATTGTCGGATCGGACCACTTTGATGATTTTGGAGAATTGAGTCTGAATCATGGCAAAAAAACGTTTAAGACAAGCAGTTACCTCACTTTTAGTACGAATAAGATATACCCAAACAGCACGAGAAAAATCATCAACAATGGTGAGAAAATAATGAGCACCAGAGGACAAACAAGGGGAATATGGGCCCCATAAGTCACAATGAATTAAATCAAAAATAGCTTCAGCTTTATTATGACTGACAGGAAAAGAAGAACGAGTTTGTTTAGACAAAAAACAAATCTCACAAGCTTGAAGTTTCTTGACAACAAAACTAGATTTATTATTAGAATGAAGAAGGGAGAAAATATCTGGGGAAGGATGACCCAAACGTTGATGAAGAAGCACCGGATCCACGTTAGCCACATTAGCCGACGTAGAGGAAGAAACCAGGATGTATACTCTGTTTCGCTTTTCACCATGTCCAATCGCCATCTGCGACAAACGGTCCTGTATTACACAACCAAAGTCATTAAAAGTAACATAACAGGTGGTGTCCCGAATCAAACACCCAACAGAAATTAAATGACAATTCAACGTGGGGACGTAAAAGACATGATGGAGAACCAGACTAGAGGTCACACGGACACTTCCCTTTTTAGTAGCCTGAATCCGAGAGCCATCGGGAAGACAAATAGGATGAGACAAAACATCCTCAATATTGAACATGTGAAACAATGTACCCGTCATATGATGAGAAGCACCGCTATCAATCAACCAATCACACGAGGTAGTAGTCATCCTGTTAATTTTATGCTATGTTTTCAAACAAAAGAAATCCAAACAGCTGGACAAAGAAAATCTGCTGCGCAATGGGACGGAGGAAATCTACTGCGCAATTGGGCACCTGGACGGAGGAAAATATGCTGCGCAATGGGACAGGCTGCTACAACGAGGCAGATCTGGGCAGCGTGGCAAATCCAAACAGCGCAATCGGACGGAAACCTCTTCAATTGAAACAGAGAGGGATGGACGACGTCGACTTCAACGGACGAACAGGGACGACGATTCTTTGCAGATGAATGGAAAAGGGCAGGCGAACAGGGATTCGCCGGCGACTAGGACGGAGACGCGCGTTCAGAACCGGAACGGACGGAGACTCCCAATCGGGGCAGAGATGGACTATCCCGTGACGGTGACGGCGGAAGAAACTTGGACAGTTCACCAGGAAGGGACTGACGATGTTCCGGCGTGGACAACCGGCGCAGACAGCCGGCGAACGAGAGACCAGATTTGCAGCGGCCACCTAGGGTTTTACGTGATATCCCAGGGTTGCTCCGATACCATGTAAAATTTAGTGAACTGAATGACTTGATTATTTCATTGATACAGGAGGATATAAATACAAGTTACAAGCCCAATATGATAGGCCCACCATATTGCAAAATAATATACATAAACTAATATATATACATAATATACGCTAACATTATCTTCAAAGACAAAGGGGTAGCCACCATCTCCAAAGTGTGTTTCTAGAATACATGATTCATAAAGGAAATCATGAGATTCCATTCAATGGAGCAGAAATCTAGGGTTCTGTGGAGAGGAAAGTAATTTAGGGTTAGTCGAAGTAGAGGATGATCTAAGAGAATTTGGTTATGCGAGAGAGGGAGAGAAACTACAAAAGATCAAAACAGATATAGATATAAGGAAAAACACATTTGTGTGAGATGTGAATGCGAGTAGATGAAAGATGGTGCGAAGAAGTAAATGAGGAGAGGAATGGTTGTGGGAGAGAGTAAATGACACGAGAGGAAAGATTGTGGGAAAAGTAACAGGTTGGAGTTAGATAAGAGTAATTCTGGAAGACTGTGGGTTAAAATTAAAACTGGGAACTTTATTTCCAGAGAAAAAGGAGAAATGAGAACTTTATTTTCAGACGGAGGGACTCTTATATCAATGTCTGCCAATAAACTACTCAACCAAAGATTCAAGCTTCTTGTTGTGGCCAAGGAATAATTTTTTATATTTTAACACGACCCTCACGTGCATACGTAGTGTTTTTTAAGTCTTGCACATGAAACTTTATTTTTTTAAAAACTGGGTGACATTGAGTTTCGAATATTTGACCTCTAAATGAATTAGGCGTTGATACCATGTCAAGTACGTGTTTGGTGTTAAATATATTGTGAAGCGGTTCCAAATAATAATAATAATAATAATAATAATAATAATAATAATAATAATAATAATAATAATAATAAATATAAATATCGTACATGCGTACTTCAGGGTAAATTTCACAAATGGTACCTGAACTTTAGCTGGAATTTCGAAGTGGTACCTGAACTTCAAATCCTTTCACAAAAATCCCTGAACTTACACAATCTTTTCACTAATGAGCCATTAGCCCGTTTCTAGGTTAACTTCCGGTCATTAGGGCCAAATTCGAATTTTATATATTTTAAAATTTTCAATTTGACCCCATTTCTTCTTTTCTTTTCTTCCACGCCCCGCCGCCGCCGCCCGCCGGTCAAAGTCGCCGGAAAATGAACTTTTTCCGATTCCGGCAGGACCAATGTCATTCTCTTCGTCTTGAGACGAGGATCAATAATATCCAAACCATTTTTGTCTAATTTGGCCTGTAACTTCTCGAATCTGAATTTTTTTACTTGAAAAAACCCTAAAATTCGAAATTGGGTCCAAAATTGGGGGTTTTGCAAATCTTCATCAAATCTTGCAATTGAGGGGTCCTTGGAGGTCGCCCNGGCGGTTTCCGCCGGGTCGGAGCGTTTTCCGGCGAAATTAAAGGCCCTGTACGACACAGGGCCGTCTCCGAAAAATTAAGTGCCCTGTACGACACACAGAAAATTGGCCATTGTGTCATAATATAATAAAATCTACTCCCTCCATCCCGTTTTAAATCGCCTGTTTTGATTTTTGGGCATATTTAAGGAAAAGAAACACAATAGAGTTGATTTTTCAAAATTGACATTACTTTTAAAGAGGGGTGACGATGAATGAGAATATAAGGTGGAGAAGAATGACTTATTTTAAGGGTAGTTTATGTATTTTACTCTTAAAAGTTTACGAAAAAACTAACAGGCAACTTATTTTGGGACAGAGAAAAAAGACAAACATGCAATTTAAAATGGGACAGACGGAGTATCAATTAGTTTATTTAAAAATAATTAACATTATACTAATAAGAATAATAAAATATCAAATTCATGGTGTAATCAATTGTGTGGCTCCGAATCTCCAATGGACTGGCTACTGCTTTGGCTTAATTCCTTCCGTATGTAGATAGGCCACTAGGCCCACTGTCCTTTACTTCTTTGTGTTTTAAATTTTTTATATAAATAAACAAATGTGTGTGTGTGTATACTTGGGCCCCCTAAAAAAATGGGCCCTGTCCCAATGACCAGCCTGCCCCTCCCTCCAGCCGGCCCTGCACCGACACTTTGTATCCGTGTAAATTTTTGTTAACGCACCAGCACTTGTGTCGGTGTAAACCATCAAAATATTTGTGTATAACTGCGGTGTACAAATGGGGTACAATTTGTGGTGTAAGTGTAGCATGACCCATTTCCAAATCATACATTCTCTGTGTATTGTGTTGCTGTTTGGACGTATCTACATGCTTTTATTCATGCTTAAATTACAGAGTAATATGAAAATCGTTTCTCTAACTAACAAGCAACTGATCAAAGAATTACTATACGTGAAAAAATGTTGTTCTTGTGGTTCATGTTTCATTGTACTCTGTTTCCTCTTTTCTCAATAACTAATTCAGAGCAAATACATTCACTTCCCGGACAACCCAAGAATTTTACATTAAAACAATACTCAGGCTACATTGTAACAGATGGTTCTCATGGAAGATTCTCATTCTACTATTTTGTGGAGGCACAATCAAAGCATTCACCTGTACTCCTCCCTCTTACTCTTTGGCTTGGTGGAGGTAAGTTTCATGTTTTTTGTTCCAAAAAAGTTACTCCATAGTCCCTCCCTCTTGAAATTGATTACGGGGTATAATTTTTATTCCTCTTATCTCTCGATAATTTTTTTATTTGAATTTTTGACACAATTTTCTAACTTGTAAGTTTTACTTTTTATTGATATACTCCTAAAATGCCTAAAATTTACAAAACTTCTTCTTTATTGTGGGTAGATGTTATTTTGAAAGTTTTTTTGGCATTCAAGACGGGATAGAAGTGTTTATGGGATGCACAAAAAATGAAACAAGAAAGACTTTTTGGGACGGAGGGAATACTAATTTGTAAATTAAATATTTTCAAAAAATTCTAAAATTTTGCCTTGTAAATCCCTATTTGTAATCAAAATTGGAATAGATGGAGTATAGTGATGTAATTAGGTCGGACTAGTAGCTTGTATAAATACCGCATTTGTATTTAATGAAAGCATATTGGTTTGTGTAAAATCCTAGATGTTGACGTGCCCGGCTCTATAGAATGTACGGTAAAACTTTACACAAACAAAATTGCTTTCATAAGTTTCATTATTTACAAACGATATTTATAGAAGCTGGAACTACTTCATCCGTTCTACAAAACTCTTTCTCTTTTGTTTTGTTTTTGAATTCTCTAATGGTATGTTTGGAAACATGGATTTGGATTTCAAATCCGGATTTGACTCAAATTCCATGTTTGGAAAACTTAAAAATTTTGAATTTGGATTTGAGTTAAATTCTTCTCATTGATAACAAAGCTTAATTTGAAATTTATGCATATCTCCTTGTCATTTGAAATTCAAGATTTCAAATTTTGGAATTGAAATACATGAATTGAAATGAAATACTAGTTGCCAAACACTACCTAAAATACTTCTATTTTCTATTAAAAAACTACTTTTATCCTAACTTTTTCATACCCTACCTATGACATCATATTTTTTCTCTGATAATCAATTCCTCACATCTTACTTTTACACATCACATCAGAGAAAATAAAATTGGAAAGTCAACCAAAACTACACTTTTCTTATTTTTGTCCAAAGTCAAAAGTGGAAAGGTTTAAAGGAACGGAAGGAGTAGTTTTTAATTTGATCTAATTGCAACTCCATTTACAATAAATAGAAACTCATTGATAATAAACCTGATGACATGTATTCCGTTAACAATTAGTAGGATTTAGTTGTTCTTCCGTTGGCAAAGCTTTGTTCACTGAAAATGGTCCATTTTGGCCACGAAAAGATGGAAAGCTTGTGAGAAACCCATATTCTTGGCACTTAGGTAACATTTTAATTTTTAACCTTTATTTTCAATGATTACACATTGGTTCGGAAATTTGATCTATATTGAATAACACGATATTGAAACGAGCAGACTATATGTAGACTCCCCAATTGGTACCGGTTTTTCATTCTCTCACACACCTTGAGACTACGACGAATGGAATCTTACTACGACAGGTATACTTTTTTTTACGGTAGTTTCAAGGTAAACATTTTTTTCAAGTCATATTTTCGCAAGAGCAGCTCATGATTCTAATTCTTTTATATCCCTACCATATAGTAAATGAAATTTCAAAGTTCATCGTCAAGTGGTTTAAGAAATTCCCCAAATTCAGAAACTCAGAGTTTTACTTGGGTGGTGACGGTCCCATAGGTAAAGGTTTTATTTTACACCATAAATACCCAAAAAATTACTTCTAAGAGCCTTTCATGTCAAGATGGATCATTAAATTTTTTTCCGAACAATTGTTCATAGGGCACCTAGTACCACATGTTGCTGCTTTAGTGCTCGAATACAACAAAAACAGTGCTGCTCCAATCAAGTTAAAAGGCCTTGCCGTGAGTTTTTTTTACTTAGCTTGTACATTATTACTCGAATGTCCATCTCTACATTCAATACTCAATAGCTTATTGTTCAATGCTTATTTGGAACAAGCTTATTGTACGTTCAATGCTCTGTACTTGTTTCTATGAACCATTTCAGATAGGGAACATGGGTTCAGGTACCCTAAAATATCTACCTGAGCACCTATGGTATCATGGAGTCATTTCTCAAGAAATGTACACCAAGCTAAAGACCGTCTGTACCCCGGAAAAAGCTTTTCATGAAAGCGAAAGTGGAAATATGTCCAAAAAATGTAAGAGAAATATGGCCGAGATGAGCAAGGAGTTTGGGGTGGGCACCAAATTGGAGAGTTTTATCATGCCCATCTGTGTAACTTCAAATTCATCACTAAAGCATCATGTAAGCAATCGTTTTATACGGAATAGTTTACAACTTCATCACAGAACATTTTTTAAAAAGCAGTTGTGGTACTACATACTTTTTTGAGGGCATAGTTTTACTTCCAGAAAATCACTCATGGATACCCTATATTTTGGAATAAAAACTACTAGGTACCCTTAGTTTTCAAAACATACTCGATCACAGGTACCCTAAAATTTTGGAAAACTGACTCGGGAGGGACTTTCCATCCCTCCCTCCGTTAAACCAATTTTCCGTCACTCACAGGTTCATTCTCTTTCTTCTCTTCTTTCGGTCTTCCCCAGTTCCCTCCCTCCTCCTCTTCTTCTTCTTCTTTTTTGCTTCCATACAGCCCCACCTCCCCCCTTTTTTTCTTTCTTTCTTCTTTGCTTTGATCCAGCCCCACCTTTTGCTTCTATTATTATTATTATTATTATTATTATTATTATTATTATTATTATTATTATTATTATTATTATTATTATTATGTTTTGAAAATTCTAGGGTACCTGTGAGTATGTTTTGAAAACTAAGGATAACTAGTAGTTTTTATTCCAAAATATAGGGTACCCATGAGTAATTTTCTCTTTTACTTTGCACCGAGTTAAGGAACATATTCGAAAGTTAAAAGTGTGTCATTGAAATTCGCTTAGAAGAAAGAAAAAATCTAGACCACGGTTAGAGAAATGAGAGTCCATACGTTCCGTTGGATTTAAGATTTACGGTCTACGGAGTAATAAAAATTGGAAACTCTCAGAAATCATGAAAAAATGTGGTGACATATCCGTAGATAAATTATACTTTACTGCCCGGCCCCTACCAAAAGTGCATTACCTAATTCAAAAAATGAATTATTCTCATAGAAGCATTTTAAAGTGCCAAGATTTTAACGCCAACGCGTTTGGTAGGAGGTAGGTAAAGTTTTATTAGGTAGGTAATGTAAGGTAGGTAGAGTAAGGTAAGAAATTGAAAAATTGTGTTTAGATATTTAGTAGGTAATGTAAGGTAAGGAACACAAAAAATTACCTAAATACCCCTAAGTAATAAAACAAAGAAATTGAAAACAGAAAAAAATGGAAAAAAAATTGAAAAAGAACAAAAAATAAATTTGAAAAACAGAAAAAATAAAAAGTAAAACCAAAGAAAACAATAAAAACATAAGCTTAAAAAATAGAAAACCATAAACAAAAAAAACAAAAAAAAAAAAGAAAACGAAAAAGATTGAAAGCAAAAAAAGAAAGAGATTGAAAGCAAAAGAAATCTGAGAAGAAGGAGAAACAACCCCTGCGAAATCCCGGAAGTTAGTCGCAAAAACGGAAGAAGTAGAAGAAGAAGAAGGAGAAGAAGAGGAGGACGGGGAAGGGAAACACAAAACCTACCTCGAGTTACCGGAGAATCGGCGGGCGGATTTTTATCACTGTTTCGTGGCTAAGCTACCTCCCCCTACCTTCGGCTACCTTCTCCGATTGATTCCCCAAACAAGGTAGCCTCTAAATCTCATCTCACCCTACCTCCAACCAAACACTGCGTTAAGTTTTTTTCATGTTGAGCCTTCATCTGTTGAACCTTCTTCCCCTTATTTCCAAGATTGATGGGTGGGGCCGTCCTCTTTATTCGCCACTCGTGTCTTAGCGGGCTCAATCCGTTACTTGTACCTGGACTTGTTCACTTCGCACGGTTGCAAGCCTTTATTGGGCCTAGAGTCGGGTCCATCAAACCCGATATCCATCACAAGCCCCCTAGTTTTCTGGCGATGTATCGCTAGAAAACTAATGATGAGCCGCCTTCGGTTTTTGTGTCGGATTAGAAACGTCGCACTTGAGTGCCTTGGGTCCCTCTTTACAACGGATATAACCCCTTCTGGACTCACCTTCTTCTTCCTTCGCTGCCGAATCTTGATCCGACCCGAATTCCGACTGCAATTGCCCTAACTTCTCGTTTCCTTCTCCGAAATGGCCCCCTCCGTAGATCCCGCAACTTGGGCCCATGAATCCTCTATCATCAAAGAGGATGAACTTCGAGAAATGGCCGAATTTCTAGGCAGAAGCTTCCGGGTCCACCATCCTGATGCTATCGGGGGAATCAGTCTATCTCATAATCCAAACCCCCAGAAGTATATGGTCATGCATTACCACTCTGTGGAGAAAGGGTTCAGATTACCCCTCCATGGTTTGGTTCATGACATCTGCCGCCATTTTGGGTTCCCCCCGGTCAATTAACTGCAAATGCGCACAAGTATGTCGCGTCCTACATCTTGCGGTGCTATGCCCTGGATAGAACCCCAACACTGGACGAATTCCCCGTCCTTTTCAGTATCGGTGGGCCTTTTCCCTATTGCAGCCTGTTTCCTCATCCCCAATCTCCAATTTTTGAGAGGGTTGAGTCTAAAAACGACAAATGGGCCCGCCGCTACTTTGTTATCGAGTTCCCGGTACATAGCCCCATAGATCTGCCGGGTGTTGTACGCCTTAGTTCCATCTCCCAAACACCGTTCGCTGCTATACCTCTGGCGGAGGCAGCATACAACGCCTTGAGAGAGGGAGGGGGTTTGATTTCACATCACTCCCTTGTGTGTTGTCACCTGCATGAAGTAGAAGTCTATATCTATTTAACCCCTTATCATGCAAGGACGACGTTTCTCCCAGAGTACAGATGGCCCACTAAATTGGCCCATGCACTTAAGTGGCAAAGCCCCAGTCAAACCTTGGGAACCTTCAACCGCTTAATCTGCCAATCACCAAGTCTTACGCATCTTCCAACAATATTTGTTACTTCCCGACAATCCCTTCCCCTTTCACTATAAATGGAGAAGGATGGTCTTTTGCTGGTTCATTCCTTTCTAATCTCTTCATCATGACGGATAAAGCCCAGAGTAAGGTTTTCATTGACCTAACCCTTTCTAGAACTTCTTCATCTTCGGATGACGATCTTCCTGCCTCTCCCACTCAGTCCAATGACATGGCTGGACTGAGTTCCAGCAAATTCTCAAGACTTTATCCACCACCCCGTCTTGCTGCGCCTTCACCTCCTAGTCCACCCAGGCTTCCGTCCGGGAGGATAGATTGGGACTCTATGACCCTCCAAGACTTTGCCTTGTACCAGAGGATGCGCAAGGCTAGACTTGGGCGTTCTTTTCCGCCTGCAGAAGCAGAATCTTTGGGTGAAAGCCGGACAACTTTTCCACACCTGCCAAAGTCTCCTAGTTACGGTTCTTCATCTGCACCACCTGCCCCCCGGCATGGGACGTGGGAAGACTATGACATGGGCGAAGCTGATGATTCCGCGGCGTGTCATTCGTCAGAGAGAAGGAGCCCATGGAAGGGGCCCCCACCTCCTTCTAGTTGACTGCATGGGTGCAATTGGCCCTCCTTCAACGCCTAGCCCCCTGCAAATCAGTTTTCCTTTTCTTGTTTTATCTCAATAGGCATTCACTTGTTTGGTCCGGGAGTTTTTCCTGCGTCCCATGGCAAAGAATGTCCTTTGATTTCAGATTAGGAATTATCGTTGTAATTCAAAGATACAACCTTCGAATTGACAATCGATGAACTTCCCTATTCTCAGGTTTCTTTCATCTCATTAGGAACCATTACTGTGAACCAAGGGTGTAAGCTTTTGGCCCATCAATATATCCCCTTATGTTTATTTCTTTGCACATCATCAAATGCAAGTACAAATATGTTTATTTCTTTGTATAAAATCTCATCTTCCGGGGTTTGGACGTGCCATGGGAGCTTACCTCATCTGCCCCTGACCTCTATTCCTTCGGGTTAATGCACAATCTTATCTACCTTGGATCAGTTGAGCGCCAACCCTCGAAGTTTGTTTGCTCGGTTGATCTGTGTTGGTGGAATACTAAGCTTCAGCCTTCGAAGTCTGTTTGCTGTTCTTCCCTGAATTTCGGATTGTAAAGGCCCTCAAAGTCCAATCCCAACCCTTCCTTTATATTTGACGGAGGCATAAACTTATCTACCTCCGGGGGGGGGGGGGGGGCATAAATTTATCTACCTCCCCTATCTTTAGCAGTTGGCATAAACTTATCTACCTCCTTGTAATGTGGGTTTATTTCTCCCGGGGGTGGTCTTCCCCCTTTTTTTAAAGAAATTTACAGAACAATGGAATTTGCAAAGACACTTGGCTTAGAGGAAAGAAATTTTTCATTAAAATTAATGCCTTAAACCAAAATAGGATGCTTTACAAAACAATTTTACTGACACAATTTGACCAAGTGCTCTACATTCCACGTCATATCAATTTCTTTTCCCTTTGGAGTCACCAATTCGTAGGTACCTAGGTGGACCACGGCCGTGAATATATAAGGTCCTTCATACTTTTTGGCCAGCTTTCCACCCTTAGTTGGTTGACTCTTCTCTCGCTTCCTCAAGACGTAATCCCCCACCTGGAACTCGCTCGGTTTCACCCTACTGTCAAAGTAAGATTTCACCTGACGACAATAATTCTCTGCCCGGATTCGCGCTTTATCCCTTCGTTCCTCTACAAAGTTCAGCTCTATGGCCTGATTTTGTTCGTTCACTTCTGGGTCATATTCCATTTCTCTTCTGGTTGGGATCACTGTCTTAGCTGGTGCCCGGGCTTCAAAACCATAGGCTAAGCCAAAAGGAGTGTCACCCGTAGCCCTTCTTGGAGTTGTCCTGTACGTCTACAGGATTCTGGGTAGTTCATCCACCCATCTTCTTCCTTCTGATAGCAGCTTCTTTTTTATCCCACTTATGATTGTCCTGTTAACGTTCTCCACTTGACCATTAGCCTAGGGATAGGCTACAGACACCTTCGTATGCTGAATCCCCTAGGTTTTGAGGAAGTCTTGAAACTCTGTCTCCTCAAACTGGGTTCTGTTGTCGGATATGATCTGCTTCGGGACCCCAAACCTACAAAGTATATTGGTTCCCACAAAGTCGATCATCTGCCTCTCTGTGATCCTGGCAAGTGGCTCAGCCTCCACCCATTTGGTAAAATAATCAATGGCCACCACTATCCATCTTGCCTGTTCAATTCCTTTTGGCAGGGCTCCCACGATATCGATCCCCCACCTGGAGAAAGGGATTACAGAGCTGATGGGCGTGTAGTTTGTGGCTGGTCTCCTGGGCACATTCTGGAACTGCTGACAAGTTGGGCACTTGCGCACATACTCCTCACAATCCTTCCTCATTGTTGGCCAGAAATATCTCTGGATTATCGCCCTTCTGGAGATTGAGTATGGGCCCTAATGCGCAGCACATACTCCTTCATGTATCTCTTCCATAAGCGCTTTTGCCTCTGCCGCCCTGAGACAGCGGAGTAAATCACCGTTGTAGGAGCACTTATAAAGGACTCCATCTTGCACCTTGTAGGTTGGTGCCCTCATTCGCATCAACCGGGCTTCTTGAGGATCTTCCGGGGCTACGCCATCCTCAATGTATCTGGCCAACCTGTCCAACCATTCTGGAGGATCTTCCGGGGCTACGCCATCCTCAATGTACTTCGTCCCTGTTGAGACTCGGGGTCGCCAATTCCTCCACAGTTGCTAACTTGCTTATATATTCTGGTGATTCTGCGCTAAGCTTGGACAAAACATCGGCTTCCGCGTTGTGCGCCCGGGGTATGTGTTCAAGCTTAAACTCGAATCTTCCCAGCATTTCCAAGGACAAGTCTCGATACCTCTTCAAGGCCGCCAGTCTCCACGTCAACCGTTGGACTTCCTTCACCGTCTTCGGTGGTTCCATCTCCATGATGGCCCTAACCTTTTCCGGGTTAGCCTCAATCCCTCTTCGGCTGACCATGTGCCCCAGGAATTTTCCACCCTGAACAGCAAAAGTACATTTCTTTGGATTCAATCTTAAATTTACCTTCATCGTGATTTCAAACACCTCCTCAAGGTTCCGGACGTGGTCTCGGGCCTCTTTGGACTTGACAATCATGTCATCAACATAAGCTTCCATGGTTCGCCCTAGGACGGCTTTGAACACCTGAGAAACCATCCGGGTATATGTCTCCCTGAAATTTCTCAGTCCAAATTCCATCACCAAATAACAGTACAGCCCCTCAAGGGTCATAAAACTCGTCTTCTCCACATCAGTCGGGTGCATCTGAATCTGATGGTAGCCACTGAAAGCGTCCATGAAGCTCATTAATTCTGATCCAGCAGTCGCATCCACCATCTGGTCAATATTGGGGAGAGGAAACGGATCCATGGTCATGCTTTGTTTAAATCCGTGTAGTCGACACACATTCTCCACGAAGGAGGCTTGGGCGCCAAGACTACATTTGCCAACCAATCCGGGTAATGCACCTCTCGGATGTGCCCAATGCTTTGCAGGGTTGCAACCTCCTTTTTCACGAAGTCTCTCCTTTCCTGCGACAAATGTCTTCGCTTCTGCTTCATCGGTTTAACATCCCGCAATACATTGAAGCGATGAACTGCAATCTTGTGATCCAGCCCCGGCATATCAGCCGGACTCCACGCAAAGACCTTCCTGAACCTTCTAAGAACAGAGATCACTCGCGACCTGAGTTCAGCCCCCAGGTCCTTTCCAATTCTGACCAACCATCCCGGCGTGCCCGGCTCTAGTTCAACCTCCTCTATGTCGCCTGCAACTTCCACTCTGGGACGTCTCTCCTCAGCCCTTAAGAGCTGTGCGGTCACCTCCCCCACTTGGGTATCGTACTTGATAGGTTGTTTAGTTGCCTTCAAATACCACGCCCGGGACACTCTTTGGGATCCCCTGGCAATTCCAACCCCATGAGGGGTTGGGAACTTTATGCAATTCCAACCCCATGAGATGACACACTCCAAATCTTCTAATCCGGGTCTGCCCAAAATGATGTTGGTATTGGAAATTATCCCCACTACAACGAACTCCATATCCAACTTCCGAGTGGCCTTAGTATCCCCTATCTCGACCGGGAGGGTTATTACCCCCTCCGGTTCAATAAAGTTTCCTGTGAACCCGGTCAAAGGAGTCTTAATGGGCAATAACTCATCTCTTGTCAAACCAAAGCCTTGTAAGTATCAATATATATGATGTTAACGGAACTTCCCTATGGGGGATCAGTAAATCCATTATATCGATCGTAATCACCAGGGCGTCCCTATGGGGGACCCCTGTTTCCGGCATATCAGCATTAGAAAATACAATCGGCTCAGTTTTCAGCTTCTTACCTTCTAGGGCCACTACCTTATTGACTATCGCCGCGTTAGCCCACTTCTTCCGGCTTGTGGCCGAGTCTCCACTAGTATTTCCACCAATGATGAGAATACACCCGTGGTGCCTCTTCTGCCGGTGTGGTGCGGGCTCTGAATCTTCCTCTTCGTCCTCAAGCCCGATGTGGCGTTTTTCCCGGGCCACCTTCTTATCTCTTCCCATTTTGAGTATTCCCGGGATTTCCCGCGTCACCATCTTGTACAAACTTCTTCAGATGGCCCCGACGGATTAGCCTCGCCATCTCATTCTTCAGGGTATAACAGTCTTCTGTGTTGTGGTCATTCTTGCGGTGGTAGGCACACCATTTTTCAGTATCCTCCACGTTGCAGACCTTCTAGGAATAGGTTGGATATGTCATTAACCCCTGCTGTGCACCAAGGGCCATGACTTCAGCCACTGGTAAAGTAAAGACTAGATTGGCGGATTTGTGCTTCTCCGAGGTCCCAGGGTTTATGCCCTTTGGGCCGTCCGGGAAGCTCTACTTCTTATTCTTGAAAGGCTTCTTGTTTCCCGCCTTCTTTTCTTCTTTGGGAGTCTTCTCTTTCTTTTCCTCATTCCTCTCCTCCAGGGTCACATACCTTCCGGCCCGGACCATTGCTTCTTCAAAGGTATCCGAGGGATGAGTTGTAAGATCAGTATGAAGGAGACCATCTTGTAGAGCCGCCGTGAACATGGCTAACCTGGATTTATCATCGGTTCCTTCAACCTCTATGGATTCTTTTCTCCATCGGACTAAGAAATTCTTTAAAGACTCTCCGTGCTTCTGCCGCACCAAAGCCAAGTGAGTGAAATGCTTCTTGGGATTGCAATTCCCTGCAAAATGCTCTAGGAATCGCAATCCCAACTCATCCCAAGTTCGGATCGATCTGGCAGGAATGTGATTTACCCAGTCCGTAACCTTGCTATCAACTGTCTGTAAGAAACATCGGCACATCAACGCGTCACTGGCGTCAACAGCGATCATCACCTGGACATAGCTATTCATGTGTTCCTAAGGATCCGATTCCCCATCATAATGCTTGACAAACGGCATCTTGAACCCCTTCGGGTATGGTTCCGCAAAGATCTCCGGGGCGAGCGGAGTATTCGTCCGGGTAGTGAATACTCGTCCCCTGTTTATCTTCCTTTGCATCTCCTGGATCTGTTGCCTCAGATCCTGGAACTCGCCAGCTTCCGGTACTTGCGGCCACAAACGCTGCGGTGCTGGGACCCTAGCTTGGCTCTGAACTTCTTCCTCGTCTAAGATCACCAATGACTGCATCGGCGCTTGGCTCCCTCCGCGGCCGGCTCGCTGTCGAGGTTCGCGGTTGGAGGATGCCACTTGGCTGGCTGGGGTCGTACCCAACCCTGGGGTGCCTTGTCCGGATTCTTCCTTAGCCACTCACTAACGTGAGCCCTCTGGTGAGATATCCTTTCAAAAACTGTCCCCGCGGGTTTTCGTTTCCGTTGCCTATGACTTGACTCACAGCCCTGGTTCGATCCCCATTTGCCCTGTTGTTTCAGGCCATCTCCTCCGCCGGGCGTCTAGCGATGGCCTGTCTCTCCCTCTCGACCTCCTCCGGGTCGTGAAGTTCCTAGAGGATGGGAGAACTAGCAGTACGCATGACCTGGCGGGGCTGCCCGGCAGGGACATTCCGGGTACCGGATGGGCTAGGGAGGGCCTGATCCAAGCGTTCCATAATGTTGGCCATCATGTTAGCCACATTATTCAATGCTGTTTCCAGCCCATTGACAGGAACGATCATGCCTTGTTCAGGGTGGTCACTCCTCTCCATCGTCTGGGCGGAAGCAGGGGTGTTACGTCTCGTCCTTTGTCCGGCCATAATCTCACAGCTTTATCTCACAGTTACTCTCAATGGAAGCACAAATGATGGGATTAACCCGATCAGATGGCGGACCAAGAACGCAATATGAATCAGAAAGATATATTCACTCAATAGTATTCTTTTATTAAGTGTGTAATTGCTTGGGTGTCCCTCTTTACAATGGCGGGTTCTTTCCCCTTTTATAGTGCTTCTAATTTCTTAATTAAAATTACATATAATGGGAGGAATTATGGAGATCATGAGGTTGTTCATTCCCTCTTTTCCGGTCTCGTTCTCTTTCCATTTCGCCCACAATCTGGTGGTGTGGGCCACGTGTCCCATTCCTTCCTCGGACGGGGTCATTTTAACTCAGCCCATGATTGGGCCGTCCTCTTTATTCGCCACTCGTGTCTTAGCGGGCTCAATCCGTTACTTTACCTGGACTTGTTCACTTCGCACAGTTGCGGGCATTTATTGGGTCTGGAGTCGGGTCCATCAGACCCGATATCCATCACACACACACACACACAGATATATATATATATATATATATATATATATATATATATATATATAACGGCCAAGATGAACGTCTAATACCAATTGCAAGAAGCTTGTTTTCTTAGCTCGCACACTCTCGTCTCCCCTTTCTATTCAAACCCTTGTGGCACCTTCATATAATGTTACTTGACGCGCATCGCAAGAAAGTGGATGGGCCAAATCCTTGTGGGATTCAGTTTGTTTGATTTCTTTACTTGTTTCTTTATTGTGATTTGTTTCCAAGTAGGATTAAGATTCTTTTCATTTTTTCCTATAAATAGAGGAGAAGCTTTTCTATGGGAAAGATGTTGGGTTTGTGGAGGCTAGGTATGTTTGGGTCTGACTAGGATTGACCGGTTTAATTTTAGCCTGTTTGTTTCTTGTTTCTTGGAGAACGTTTCGTAGCCCTAGTTTTCTTTCTATAGATATGCATCCTATACTTGTAAATCCGTAGACACGACAAGTGAATAAAATCCTCCTGGTGCAGCTGTTGTGGATTAGGGAAATCGAACCATGCCAAATTCTTGTGTGTCGTTTGTGTTCTGTTCTCTCTTAATTCTCGCAGATATTTATGTGTCATGTGTGTTTAATTCCCAACAAGTGGTATTGGTGCTTGGTTCTTCAACACGAGCTTAAATTGTAGAAAATTGTTGCCTAGGGTTTTCGGATGTGTGTGCGTGCGCGAGTGAACGACACATCTGAAGGAGCTACAACCTACAGGAAAGGACAGGTGATCGAAGCTGAGCTGCCTAGGGAATTTCTGCCGCTGTCGTGTTGATACAAGAAAAGTGTAGAAATATTTTACGTGAAACTGAGTTTTCCATTAGTCACCGGGAGTTTATATACAAAGCCGAGAATACAAGTCACGGGCCCAAGCTATACACCGGCCCAACACACAATAAACATATACACATAAAATACTAGGCTAACACTCCTCCTCAAGTTGGAGCATGTAGATCACAAATGCCCAACTTGGACAGTAGACTACGAAAAAGAGGACCGGAGAGGGCCTTTGTGAAGATGTCCGCCGTTTGAAAGCGCGTAGGAACATAAGCCGTCACAATATGATTGCGCTGAAGACATTCTCGGACTATATGACAATCAATATCGATATGCTTCGATCGCTCATGAAACACAGGATTTGCGGCAATAAACAGGGCCGACTTGTTGTCGCAGTATAGACGTGGAGTCGCGACACACCGAACGTCCAAAGCCGCCAAAAGGCCACGCAACCAACGAATTTCAGCACAGGCATTGGCCATAGCGCGATACTCAGCCTCCGCGGAAGATCGAGAAACAGTGTTCTGCTTCTTAGTGCGCCACGAGACAGGAGAACCACCCAATAAAATGAAGTAACCAGTAACAGAACGGCGTGTAAGAGGACAGCTAGCCCAATCAGAATCAGAGAAGGCAGTAATTGCAAGATTGCTGTCACTACGTAACAAAATTCCCTGACCAGGGTGTCCCTTGAGATAACGGAGGACACGAAGAGCTGCATTCCAATGGTCAAGACGTGGAGCCTGCATAAACTGAGAGAGGCAGTGAACGGCATAACAAATATCTAGACGAGTAATGGTCAGGTACAACAAACGACCCACAAGACGACGATACTTAAGAGGATCACGAATCTCAGCGCTAGTAGATCGGGCCAAATTATGATCAACGGGTAATGGAGTGTCCACAGGCTTGCACCCAAGCAAATTAGCCTCATCAATAATGTCAAGAGCATACTTACGCTGAGAGAGAACCATACCAGTCGAAGAACGAGCACACTCAATCCCGAGAAAATAAGAGACAGGACCAAGATCCTTAAGATGAAAACAATCATCTAAATACTTCTTGAACGACGTACACAAAGACCTTTTGTTACCTGCCACCAAAATATCATCAACATAAACAAGTACAACCAACATATCAGGACCGCGCTGGAGAACAAAAAGAGTGTGATCAGCATGGGCTTGACGAAAACCATAACGTCGCAGAGCAATACGGAGCTTAGTGAACCAATTATGAGGAGACTGACGAAGCCCATATAAAGATTTGTGCAGATGACAAACTTTCCCTGGAAAAAGATGAGTATAACCAGGGGGTAGTTTCATATAAATCTCATCCTGTAAATTACCATGCAGGAAGGCATTATTAACATCCAACTGATCAACCTACCAACCACGAGCCACTGCAACAGACAACAAAACACGAACAGTAGCAAGTTTGGCTACAGGAGCAAACGTGTCAGTATAATCAACACCAAGTTCCTGATGATTGCCTAAAACAACAAGGCAAGCTTTATCACGCTCCTTAGTACCATCAGACCAAAATTTGGTCCGATATACCCACTGGCAACCAAGAGCACGTCGGTTAGGAGGAAGATCAACAACATCTCAGGTATGGTTACGTTCCAGGGCCGAATACTCAGTGGCCATTGCCTCTCGCCATGAGGCAAACTGAACAGCTTCACGGAAATTACGGGGAACAGATGTGGCGTCAATAGCTCCAAGAAAACCTCTATATCTGTCATGCAACTTAGAATAATGAACAAAGTTAGTAATAGGGAACCGAGTACCAGAAGGAGAAGAACATGAGGTGACCGGAGCCAGAGTGACAGTTTTTGCGGAGTGAAGGACGTAGTCGTTGAGATGAGATGGACGACGACGAGTACGAGGCGGAAGGGGTGGAATTATTGGCAGTGGTGAAGTGGTCTCCACCGTGGAGGGAGAACTGTTGTCGTCGGAGGAGGAGGAGACGGGGGTGGTGACTGTTTCCGATGAAGAAGAGGACGAAGAGGGTGACGGAGATAGAGACGGAGACGGTGTGGGCTGCTGGGCTGTCACCGGAACAGTGGGGGTGACGGGTGACGGTACCACTGGCTGGGGGACGGCAGTAGTGACTGGAGTAGGAGGAACGACGAAATCAACTGGCGAAGGTGTGATGATGGGTTGAGAACTGGTCGAAGGAGTAGGAACAGCAAACGGGAAGGTTGTTTCATCAAAGGAGATATCTCGCGTATGAAAAAATGTATGGGTTTCAAGATTATACACGCGCCACCCTTTGGTACCATAAGGATAGCCCATGAACACACACTTGATACTTCGTGGGGTAAATTTATTTCTGGGTTTAGGAATAGGGTGGACATAACAAAGACAACCAAAAACCCGAAGATGACTCAAATCTTGAGGTTTGGAGGAAAGAATTTCAAGAGGAGATTTTCCCNCAAACGGGAAGGTTGTTTCATCAAAGGAGATATCCCGCGTATGAAAAAATGTATGGGTTTCAAGATTATACACGCGCCACCCTTTGGTACCATAAGGATAGCCCATGAACACACACTTGATACTTCGTGGGGTAAATTTATTTCTGGGTTTAGGAATAGGGTGGACATAACAAAGACAACCAAAAACCCGAAGATGACTCAAATCTTGAGGTTTGGAGGAAAGAATTTCAAGAGGAGATTTTCCCTCGAGGAGTTTAGTAGGAGTGCGATTAATTTAGTAGACTGCCGTTTTGACACACTCCCCCCAAAACTCGAGTGGAAGAGACGCTTGGAACATAAGGGATCGGGCCACATTGAGTATATGACGATGTTTTCATTCTACCCGCCCATTTTGTTGTGGGGTACCAACACAAGATGTTTGAATACACACACCCATACTATCATAATACTGACGCAATGAAGAATTGAGAAATTCAGTGCCATTGTCAGAACGAACAGTTTTTATAGTTTTGGAGTATTGGGTGTTGATCATTATGAAAAAACGTCGTAGGCAAGATGTGACCTCACTCTTTGATTTAATCAAATAAACCCAGACAGCCCGAGAATAATCATCAACAATTATCAGAAAATAATGTGCCCCAGACGAAATACAAGGAGAATAAGGTCCCCACAGATCACAATGAATTAAATCAAAAATAGCATCAGCTTTATTATCACTAATACGAAATGGGGAACGAGTTTGCTTAGACATAAAACAAATCTCACAAGTTTGGAATTTGTGAACAACAGACTGTGTTTTATTGGTACCAAGAAACGAAAGAACGTCAACGGAAGGGTGGCCTAGCCGTTGATGAAGAACAAAAGGATCAAGATTGGCTACGAGAGCTGACACAGGAACAGATGCAAAAACATACACACCATTTCGCAAATCACCCTGTCTAATCACCATCTTCGACGAACGGTCCTGTATCACACAACGATGATCATTAAAAGTTACATAACAAGTATTATCACGTATCAAACATCCAACAGAAACCAAGTGACACTGCAAGTTTGGTACGTATAACACATTACGTAATACCAAACGAGATGTCAAATGCATACTTCCCTGTTTTGTGACCTGGACACGAGACCCATCAGGGAGACAGACAGAATGAGGGGAAACATCCTCAACATGGACTAAGTGAGTGAGAGAACCTGTCATGTGATGCGAAGCGCCACTATCAATTAACCAATCAGAAGAAGAATTACCGGTGTATGTGTGAGAAGCGGACGCCTCTAACATTGACATCAAGCGGGACATTTGATCACTGAGGTGGCCACTCGAGTCAGACACTGAAGCATGAACAGCTGCAGGAGGACCGCCGCTACTGCCCTGAGCCGGCTGCCCACTGCCGGCAGGGGTGTGAGAGGCGCTGCCATGCCGAGTAGAGCCACGGCCTCCGGACGCCGATCCTCCTCGACCTGTGGGGCCACTTCCGCGACCCCGCCCTCCACCACGAGCATACTGTGCTGGAAAACCGATGAGCTCAAAACATGTATCAACGGTATGATTAGTGCGACCACAATGCGAACAAGACCTGTTTGGAACAAGAGGGCGTTTGTCGGATCGGGCAGCGAAAGCAACGGTGTCCGTGCGATCGTCCCTAGTGCGAACAATATGACGATGGCGCTCCTCCTGGGTAACCAAAAAATACACATGATCGAGATCGGGCAGCGGTTCAGTGCCTATAATCTGAGAACCGATATTCCCAAACTGCTCATCATCCAATCCAAGCAAAAAATCCACGGTTTTGTCACAATCAATACGGGTACGAATGACCTCTGCGGCCTCACACCGGCAGCCCCCGGTAAGATCAGAGGAGCCATACAATTGATTCCACAAAGTAATAAATTGGTTGTAGTAGGAAACAACACTTTGACCTTTCTGACGTAAAGAATTTAACTCTGACTTTAACTGGTACACACGAGGCCCATTAGAACAACTATAGCGTTTCTTCAAATCATCCCACAATTCATAAGCTATTGAGTGAGAAACAATACTGGGCTGGATANTACAAATAATTTGATGATTAGCACACCATGCAGACAATTCCTGTTCATCAGTAGGTTTAGGAACACCTCCGGATGACAAGAAAACAGATTTCCCACGACCACCTAAAGCATTACGGATCGCCTTCTCCCATACATCAAAATTGTCACTTTTAAGAAGATATTTTGTCAAGGAATTACCCGGGCCTTCGGAGGGGTGAAGGTAATATATGGAAGAAGGATCATGAATGAGCAGAGTCTTTTTAGGGTTGGAGGCGACGACTTCACCGGACATACTGGCGGACGGCGATCGGAAGAGCCGGCGACGAGAAGACAACGACGACGAACAACGAACAAGACAACGACGGAGGAGGGCTAACGGACACCAGACTCCGGCGCACTATCGACGAACAGACACCGCCGAATCGGACGGCGAAAACTCCCGGTCGGCACACACACAAGCGTAGGGTTTCGAGACTCGACCCTAGGATCGCTCCGATACCATGTAGAAATATTTTACGTGAAACTGAGTTTTCCATTAGTCACCGGGAGTTTATATACAAAGCCGAGAATACAAGTCACGGGCCCAAGCTATACACCGGCCCAACACACAATAAACATATACACATAAAATACTAGGCTAACAAAAAGAGACTGCAGGTGCTGAGCTGGATAGTTAGTTACGGATGAGTTGGAATCCTAACCAATTCTGTTGAAGATTCTGTTTCAATTCTTCTTCTCTTAATGTTGTATATAAACCCCTGCATCTTGTAATAGCTGGACATGAATGAATAAACACAAATCTCCTTTAATTTGCCCAACTCTTGATCCGTTTTGGAGTTGCGATCATTGATAATGGTCATTCCTTCCATCAATTTCTGCAATTGAGTTTGGATTGCTGCAAATTTATCTTTTGCTTCTTCATTAACTGCCTCTGAATTCCGATTTCTCGTCATTTTCAAGATCCAAGGACCGATCAGCTCTGATACCACTATGATGCACAAAAAACACAGATTCCAAGAAGCATAAACTTCGAAGAATCAATTGATATTCCAGGGAATAAATCCGAGAGAATAACCAGAGAATATAAAGAGAGAAGGAGATTTGTGTTTATTCATTCATGTCCAGTTTTTACAAGATGCAGGGGTTTATATACAACATTAAAAGAAGAAGAATTGAAACAGAATCTTCAACAGAATTGGTTAGGATTCCAACTCATCCGTAACTAACTATCCAGCTTAGCACCTGCAGTCTCTTTTCTTGTATCACTGTTTTCTTGGATCTGATCAAGAAGATTGAAAGAGCCGTTGAAGCCGCGACACTGGTCATAGACTATGAGGACGACCAATACCGCCGCTGAAGGAGAGAGACTTTTGTTCTAACCACCGCAGTCTCCCCTCGTGGAGCAGTCGCCGTCCAGCCGCGCAACCGCCAGCGTAACTTGCCGCAGATTGTCGCCGCCTCGAGAAGGTGCAGCCGCTGACCCAGTTGCTGTCGAGCCGCCGCCAGTCCAGGGAGATTGCCGTCCAAGTTGGTGCGCCGCCGCCCTCGAGGAGCCGTCCAGAGCGCTACCGCTCCTACCATCCAATTTGAGAGCCGCCTCTGACCGTGCACAATCGCCGAAAGAAGAAAGAAAAGGGTTGATTGGCAGGTGCAAAAAGTAAAGAGAAAAAGGAAAGGGACAGTGGGCCAATCGGTGAAATTGTTCAGCCCATTTTTTCTTTTGAAGTTTGGCTTGGTTTTGGACTTCATTGGATTGACTGGGATTGTTTTGATTTGGGTTAAATTTATTGGAGTGGTGGACCTAATTTTCTGATAATATTACTAGATCTGATTTTTTTTGTATCGGGTATTTCGTCTAATCGTGTGAAATGGCAGAAGATAGAAAGTACCAAATTGAAAAACTCGATGGTACAGACTTCAATTGGTGGCAAATTGAAGATTTGCTAGTTCAGAAAAAAAGCAAATCATTTCCCAACGGAATATTGATGTCGATGATTTCACCCTTAAGACAAATCTCATACCTCTGCACGAATCTAGAAAGTTGTTGAGGTCTACAACCTTGCAAGGGTCCTATGTCAAACAAGTTGTGCGTGAATTCTACTGCAGTCTGAATGAGAACTTTGTAGCCTCTGTTGATGAGAATTTTGAGAAGGTATTTGTGCGAGGGAAGTATTATGCCTTTTCCTCTGAGCTTGTGAACAAATTTCTGTGCTTGGATGATGTGCAAGATGTGCTCACAGGGGAGGTCATAATGTGGAGAGAGCTTACACATGGTGCCAGAAATAGTCAACATCCTTCCCATAAGGTCCCCTCCTCCATCCTCAAGAGCTCTTACTCCATCCTCCTGAGGGCAGATGATGGCTCTACCCAGGGGGAGAGTTCTCATTTGGAGGAGGATGATGATCTCTGAGCTTAATTTTTTTTGCCTTTATAAATATTTGCATCTGTTTCTTTTTAGGGTTGTTCTGCCCTCTTTCTGGTTCCAAACAATTTGCTTTCTTGATTTGTGTTACTATGGTTATTTTTTCTACTGCTAGACATGTTTTTTGGGCTTGGCTAAACTTCATTTGGTTATTCGATTCCTCGATTTTTACTTCTGGGTATCTAAGGATTTGCTCACTTATGTTTTTGGCACTGATGTTCTGTTTACTGTTCCATTGTTCCTTTCTGTCTGAAATGGTGTAGCTACACTCTCAAGCTAGCACTGTGTTCACCTTTATGTGTACCTCTCTCGCTCAAGGTTTGAAATGGTGTAGCTACACTCTCAAACTCTTCTTAATAAACTTTGGCTCTTTTGTACAAAAAGGGGGAAAAGTGGTTCAAATTTGTTTTGTCCAAAAGGATTGCCAAAAGGGGAGATTGTTCGTTATTATGTAACCTCGATTTAGTTGTTTCTTTGATGTTGACTTTATCCTTTGTGACAAGAATAAATAGTAGGGTATTCTTTAGTGTTTGTTGTCTAGTTTGAGGATGCATCATCCTGCCATGTCATTGAGATCACGAGAGTCCTCTGTGTTTTGTTGTTTATGGAGCATTAGTTTTCATGTCGTGATAGGAGTCCTGTGCCATCTATGAAGCGTTTGCACTTGTTGTGTTTCACAAGGACACTGCTAGGGTTTGTATCTTCATATATATACACGCTAATGCTGTAAACATATCATATTCATACGGCGAGATTGAGAGGTGTGATTCATCTGACAGTTGACTTGCAGGATTCAGTTAAACAATACTGGTTATGTTGTTGTTGATTAATCACTTCTTTAAGAGCAAGAAGATACTGTCATCAAGCTAGTGATCTATGAAGTGTTGGTAAAGGGTTACTCCCCCGTCCTAGAGTATTTGTCAACTTGCAATTTTACACACCATTCAATACACTTTTTTAATCCATTTTATCTTGTTATTAATATATTAAAAAATTATAGAAATTATATATTAATAATCTATATGTTAAGACAAATCAAACAAGATCGCACATGACTATATTTAGGCTAACACATTGAGAGGATTTGATGAGTCAAAGTGCTTAGATGAACACTTCCAAAAGTCAATAGTGGACAAATATAGCGGGACGTAGGTAGTATAACGTAACCATCATTTGGAGTTATCAAGAGTTGGTGTAACTAACCATAACAGATGATGCAAACAGAGTTTGACATTAAAGTCATCCGTAAGTAGATTAAGTTGATACACTAGATCGTGTCTAATGTTATTGAAGGTGTAATCTTTACGGTGATTTAATAGAAGGGCTGTTACACAGATGTGGGTCCCGCAGATATAGGAGAGATCTCTGAATTGCGTAAACAATCCTCGTGTCTTCTTTATTACTTTTATTTTGCTTTTTGTGTGTGTTAGTGTTAGAGGAAGTGCTGCATCATCTTGTCTATCTTCTTTGAATGCACTGCAGCAGTTCCTGCGTCTAAATCCTTGAAAGGATTTTGTGTTTGCTGGTCATTGTTGAGCCGTTTAGAACTTAAACGATCTTGATGAGGAGATTTATATGCGTTTACCTCCTAGCAATCTCATTCTTTTCCTGGAAAAGTCCACAGGTTGCGCAAGTCTCTTTATGGCTTGAAGTAATCTCCCCATAATTGATTTGCTAAGTTGAGTATTGTTCTCCAACAGTGGGGTTGAAACAGGCTCATAAGGATCATATTCCATTTATTTTACATCGCAGGCTTGGTATTCTGGCAGTCTTAGTCTATTATGATGACACTATGGTTGGAGGGAATAATCCATCTACGTGTTCTTATTTTAAATGACATTGGATCGTTGCTTTTACCTAAACAACTTGGGTCCGATAAAGTATTTTTTTGTATTTAATGTGCTCGTTCTCCTTCCGGGATGGTGTTATGCCAGCACAAATATGCGATGGATATTTTTTATGAGGCTGGACTACTAAAATGCAAGCTTGCCGCCACACCTCTTCCACCGACTCACGGCCTGGCTTGTTCGATAGGGGCTCTGATCCCATTGCACGATCCCTCACATTATACACGACGACTCGTGGGTCGTCTTATTTATCTGACTATTGCCCAACCTGATCTATCATACACTGTGCATGTGGTGTCTCAGTTTATGAACACACCCACTGCTAACCATATGGTTGTTGCTATGCGTGTCCTTTTCTACATAAAGGGTCATCTAGTTCTAGGTATTTTGTTGAGAACCAAAAGTAATATTCAAATTATTTCTTAATATTCAAATTTTTTCTCAGCGCTCTATGAGCGGGTATTTTATTATGCTGGGTACTTCTCCTATTTTGTGAAAGACCAAAAACGAGACTACGGTTTCTAGACCATATGTAGAGGCTTGGTATCGAGTTTGATGGTTACATGGCATGCCAATTCTTTATCCTCTATGTTTATGTTGTGATAACTAGTTTACTTCATATATTACGGCAAATATAGTATTTCATGAGCGTATTAAACTTATTGATGTTGATTGACATGCGGTTCATGAACTTGTGCAGTGACGCGAGGTGTTTACTCGCTATGTTCCCACACGTTATCAATTGGGAGATATTTTTATCAAAACTTTGTCTAAACCTATTTTTATTTTTTACTGTCCAATTTGGTTATTCATGACATTCATGCTCCGGCCAACTTGAGGAGTATTAAGGGGTATTTCCTGTAAAGAAATTTAATATGTATTTTAGTCTAAGCAAATTCTATGGTGAGCCTACGTTTCACTATGGATTTACATATGAATAAAATAAGCTAGCATTTCTTTACTCTTGAATAAGCATTTGGTTTTTTAAATTAAAAAAAAGTTTTTTAAGTGTGATTAATAAAAATGAAAACAATGTATCCCAAATCTCTACGGAGTACAACATATTAACTAACTGCAACTCCAAATTGAATAAAATAATGGTTAACTGAAAATAAAAAGGTTATCTTTCAACAAAATTCTTATTATTAGTGGTTTTGTATTCTGAGTCGGTTGATCGATTAATGTCTCATAACTTAAAAAAGTTGTAATTCTAGTTTTTCGGGTTAAAATATACGAGTAATTACTAAGGCTCTGTTTGGTACAAGGAATTCAAATTATGGAATTGGAATTGAGGACTTCAACTCCAATTCTGGTGTTTGGTAGCACTAATATTATGTGGATTTGGGATTGATAGAGCGAAAAATGAATTGATATTGGTGAATTCAATTTTGTGGAATTGAATCACATGGAATCCCAATTTCAATTCAATTCTAATTCCACCAATTCCGTATACCAAACGGACCCTAATTAAACTTTGTTTCAATTGTGCAGGTTGCTAATAATGAAGACAGCATTGGTGATCCATGTCTCCCTGATTACACAAAGGTCTACTTAAATAGACCAGAGGTTCAAAAAGCTTTGCATATCAACAAGACTCACTTGCCATATAGCTGGGATGAATGCATAGGGTACTTTTTAATCAACCTCAATTCATTATTATTATACAAGAGGGATATTGTGTGCTAACAATGTGAAATAATATACAAACCTTAAAAAGTGCAGGGGCCTCAAGTCTGACGGGCCTTTGAAGGACCCGTATGCTACTAAAAACTTTCATACACTTTCAAGACTTTTAACAAGACATATCCAAATCTTGCTTTACAGGTGACTAATTTTTACAATCTCTATCCCATTTTAAATCTTATGTTTTGACTTTTGGGCATATTTAAGAAAAAAATAAAGTGACACTTGGTTTCTAGAAAAGTTCGGCTATTTAAAGCACTTTGGACTTTTAAAGAATATTTTTTTAATTTGGATTAGGTCGCGATCCTAATTTGACCCAATTTAAATAAAATCATTTGAAAAATAGTTCTCAAACACCTTTGATTTAATTTAACAGAAGCATAGACTTGAAATTTTTTAAGAGTATTAAACTCGAAGTAAAGGTTAAACCCATAGAGAGGCTTAATTTTTTAAGCTTCACGATTTAATATTTCTAAAAAGAAATCTGATTTCATATGTATTTTTGAAAAAATTCTGATCCTTGATAACACTCACACAGTGAATACTTTAAAAAAAAATGCTACGAGCTTATTCCCCCATGAAATCCCATTTTGAACCCACTAAGTTAGATCAACAGTTTAGTAAACTTTATTAATTGAATTACTGAAAGAACGGTCATCTGAAGTAACCTAGGGGGTTCACCATATGATTCATCACATAGGCAGTAAAAAAATCAAGTAGAAACATCACAAGGTTGTCCAAAGCCACGTAGGGATTAAATCTCTCAATCCTTAGTAACAATTCAAACTAATGTATAAATTCTGAAGCAAAATCTAACAGTACTCACAGAAAACATAGAATCACAACCTGTCAAATTGGGAAAAAAGCGAAGACTAATCCAACAAACAAAAAATTGAAGAAAAACATTCAATCATGACAAAAAAAACTCAAAGAAGAAGAAGAAAACTAAAAGGGAGTTTCAGATACAAGATCCGAACCCCCTAGGGTTCATACCCTTTGATGAGGAGTGGGCATGAGCTATTCGTACCGCTCTTCGTGCTCGTAAAAGGTTTGGTTTTGTGGATGGCTCAATCTCAGCTCACAACCACCGAAGATTCCCCCGATCTTGAAGTGTCGTGGACAAATAACTCTTTGATAGTTTCGTGGACCCGAAACACATTGAAAATGATCATTTTTGGAACTTAACCCTAATTAATAAGGTAAATATGAGATTTTAAATAAAATATTTCCAAATTGTAAAGTATGATTTAGATAATTATTTTTTATCGAGGATAATAGAGGGAAAATGTTTCAGCTATGAAATATTATAAGAATAACAATTGCTTATTGAGAAACAACTCTGGAAAACACCTCATTAGAAGTCTTTAATGAAAAGAGTAAAAAGTGGGGTGCAATAGTATTTGGCATCCATGGAAACAAGTGTGGAACTTAATAATGTCTATATATGATTAGCGAGGTTTAAAGGTCCTGATTTTAACAAGTAATTGTAGTGGAGATCAAGATGTGATAAACCCCGTCGTAGAGACTCGGAAATTAGTGCAGATACTTGCTAAAGACTTGAAGCTCGTCCGTTTGAGGAAGAATGGACCATGGTACAATGGACCTCAGGTAATCCTCACTTCATTTCCCTAGTGTTATTCGCAATATGTTTTCATTTGTTTTTTCGTCTGTCCTATATATCATTTTTTCATTTTTAAGGAATTTTTTTGTGACTCATGATATTACTATGTTCTACATTATTTTTGATTAAATAATTCTACTTTTTTATTTAATGTCAAATGTGAAACATTTTTGCAGGCCAAATCGAGTTTCATTTTGCTTAATTTTTTTAAAATAGAAACCTTGTTAAAGACAAAGTCACAATAAAGTTTGACGCTACTTATTTTTAGACATTCATTGTGAAATTTCATGGGGGTAAACTAATAACCAAACTAATATATGTACAACACACAGAGCAAACAACAGAAAGCAAAAAAGTGTGGCACAAAGATGCTACGGAGTACAACACAAGTAATTGTGAAGTATGACTTGTAGGGTGCTGTAACTGTGTCATCTTAGAATTTAAGAAAGCAATAAAGAACACAACAATATGTTAACACAGTTTGGAGCAAACTCTCTTACTCTAGGGGTCCCATATCCATGTAACAACCCTTCACTAAACCAACCTAATAGATCACATCAATCACAAACAATGAAGTGTCTCTTCTTTCTATTTATGATAAAATCTTACTTTACGCATGGCTTTTAACTAAAATGTTGTTTGAGTCTTCTTCAATCGCGTGTTACAACCTCTCCAAAACCTTTTCCAAGAATGTGCTAGCAACCCTTCTCCAAATCAACAAGATATTCAACTTCTAGACAATATGACAAACATGAATTTCACATGCTATGAATTAAATCATCCAGAACCTTAGCTTCAAGGTTTCTGTGATGAAACTAAGCCTCAAACCATCACACAAAGATATGGACCTATGGCGTGATCTCTTTTATACGACGAACTCTCTCAACACAGCCTTTCTGATTTTCTCTCGTGTGTGCGTCTATTAATCTGTAAGGCTAGGCTGCCCAGGCATAGCTTATTTAGGGAATAACAAAACCCTAATAGAGTCCATCTAGGAAACTTTTTGTGCAGCAAGTCTTCATGGGTAACAAGTCGCCCACTGCATTCCTTTTTCCTTGAAACTTACAAACGAGATATAGAAGCTATTTAAAAACCGTAGGACACCATAAAATACACTACACTCCATAAAAATATATGCCAGCTAGAATTTCTGAAATTTCAATACTCCTTCACTAAGTAAGATTCCTTCACGGTGTGATGGCAGACCAAATGATTTAGCACATGCTTCAGCAACATCTATGGTGATGAACAGGATACTACATCTCTATTCTAACACAAAACGACTAAACAACTTCAACGTCTAAGACCTATTTATTTGTCAAAGAGTAATTCACACCGACTGAAGTTACAAATACTCGATCACAATAGTAAAGATGAAAAAACAAGGAATTAACAATCATAGAAGGAACTGATCTTATTGTAGGGGGTTAGATACTACAAAAAATACTGGGATATCACTCAAGTACTATAGAAATTGATGTCGATACTAAAAATTGGGGGCCTGTTCTGAATTTTGTCCAACAGATTGGTCAAATAAAAGGGGTTTTGTCCAAAGCAGGTGAAGGAGGCTATGCTCAATATACCAAACTTCAGGAGCTCGAGTCGTGATTGCTTTAGTAGTGGCTTTTATAAATCTCAATGACACATTGTGGGGAAGTTGATTATTGATACCGCCGTCCAATATTTTTTTGAGTCTGGTAAGACTATTAAGCATATCAGTGCCACAAAATATCTCTTATCGCAAAACTTGACAACCCTATTTGTCCATTTGACTATAGACCCATTGCATGTTGCAATGTGATTTATTGAGTGATTTTAAAATTGATCAGTAGTTAGTTTAATGCAGTACTTCCTTACATTATCAATGCTAATCAAGGGGCTTTTGTTCATGTAAGGGAGCTTCTTCATAATGTATTGCTATGTCAAGAGTTAGCCAAGGGTTATAATAGGAAAAATATATCCCTAAGATGTGTGATGAAGTTAGACACAAAAAACGCCTATAAATCTGTCAGTTGGAATGCATTTTTGGGAATCCTCCATGGGCTTAATATAAGGGCTTTCATTTTAAAATAAAAATCAATCTCTCCATTTGACAATTTTCTGACAAAAATAAAAACTCACTCAAGTCGTTTTGAACCTCTTCCTACCCACCTTTTGCAAAAACCAAAAGCAAATTTTTTTTTTAAAAAAATTAAAAGTAGGGGTAAAACTTGAGAAGAGTAACCTTCATCACCAAGGTAAGAGTAGATACAATCAAGATCTTCATTGTGAACACTCCCCCTTGAGTAACTGATTCAACCACGTTTATGAACTCCTCCCCCTCATGATGTGCAATGAGGCCAACAAAATATCCAACAACACACGTCTCGTGCTCTAAATGTTTCAAGCTGATGATGAAACACCTCTTATAGCATCCTTCTGATTAGCAAGGAGAGGCATACACAGACGTAAGCACGATCTAATTATTCGAAGATGATTTCCATAAGCTTCACACTTGGATCACAATTTGGATTGTTATTTGGTGCTTTCTCACACACTAATTTTCAGATGATAACACCATGCCTATCATGAGATGATCTAGCTCTTTCTCCAACACAATGATCCTCTACCTTTCCGGCCTCACATGTTTGATTCTCAATGGTGATGTGATCTAAACATTGTGTGGTAGCATTCCTCCCACACAAGTCTGATGGGAATTTTGTCTTGGCTGCCTTGTTTGCGAACCTAAATTAACTTTATCCTTGAGTGTTCTCTCCTAAAGCTTTTCCCTTTTGGCATTTTGCACCATTTTTTATATGCCCCCTTTTCCACAGCACTAGCACACATGGTTAGCATAAACATTCTTATGATGATAACTATTCTTGAGAACCGAATCTTAATGGATTCTTGTTGTACCTGAAACACTTAAATAAATGTTTAGTTCTTATATTGTTTGTTAACATCAAAACACAAGGCTTAGTAAACCAAGGCTAACAATCTCCCTCTTTTTATGTTGACAAATAATATACTTCAAAGTGAGTTCGGCGGGAGTAAAAATAATAAAGCAAGCAAGCTCTCCCTAAGAATAAGCGTATTGAAAATACTTACTTTCAACTTTTCTTGTGTTTATTAAAAGTTTAAGTTCGGCGCAAATAATTACACAAGTATGCACTCAAGTCATGTTGCATATGCACTACTTTGAAATATACATCTTCTCCCCCTTTAATTTTGTCAAAATCAAAAAGGGCATTTTGAAAATTTTAAACACGTATTACTTCTTGAAAACCCTCCCCCTATCAAAATGATTTTTTAAAAAATGATAGTTTGGAGATCATCGGATAAAAGGTGCATTTAAAACAAAACTCTCCCTAAAACAAAAAAAACTCCCCCTAAAATAATGTAAGTTTTAAAAATTTATTTCCAGGGACTTTGGGGATAATTTTTAAAAGGCATGATTTTAGGAATGAATTTCGAAAAATTGTTTAGTCATGCAAACCAAGACTAAAAAAATTGGAGCACATATGGGATAAGGTTTTATTTTTGAAAACAATCAAAAACAAACAAAATATCTTATCCCAATAAAAAAAATTTACCTTGGTTTATGTCGTTCTTTATTCGGCTTTGAATACGTTTCTTTCCTCTTTACATACTTCTTCCATTTGAGGAAATCCGTTGACTTGATTCTCATTGCCTTCTCTTCATCTCCTTCATCAGTTAACTCTTCCGAGGATTTTGAGTCACTTGAATCATCAGTTGACTCACTTGACTCTTCACTTGATGAGTCTTTTGAAGCTTTTAAGGCGTTTCTAAGTTTGAGATTTTCACACATTTCTTTCTCTTTGATCTTTTTCAACAAAAGCTCGTGCGAGTACAAGGAGGACCAAATGAGATCGGTTTCGGCCTTATCACATTTGGGTAATAAATCAACTATGCTACTATGCCATTCTTTAGGTAAAGAAAATAATATATTTGTATTTAACTCGCATGTAGTATAAGTCTTATCCAACTTACTCAACTTGTTGACAATTTCGTTGAACCTTTTGTTCATGTCTTGAATCGTCTCACTTTGCCCTTTGTGGAAGGATTCGTATTCCATGTTTCCTAGGGCAATCATTGTTTGCTTGGTTGAGACGTCCCCTTCGTGAGTGGCTTCTAATAATTCCTACACCTCCTGGTTGTTTTGCACATATTAACTCTTGCAAATTCATCAGGACAAAGAGCACAATGAAGGATGTTTATCGGCTTTGCATTCATGGACAATTTTCTTTTGTCCTTAGGCGTCAACCCTTCAAGATTATCATTTCTCGGAACAAATGGCCCATGAAGTACATTCAACCATAAATCAAAATTAATTGATTGAATAAAGTATTCCATCCGGATTTTCCAATAGAAATAATTTTGGCCATTGAAAAATGGAGGGCGGTGAATGCTTTGGGATTTTTTGAATTTTAAAAATTAGAGATAGTAAAAGCTTTGAAATATTAAAATTCAAATTAAAAAGGGACATAACAAGTAGATCTTTATCATAGATGTGGTTAAGTACTTTAAACTACAAACTGCTCAGATACCACTTGTTAGTCGGTGTTAGTTGTTGCGCCCACTCCTTAGAGGGGGGGGGGGAATAAGGCATTTAAGAATCTTTTCGGAAATTGATAAAATTAGTGTTGGTAAATACAAAAGCAATAAATATAACGCAGGAATAAAAAGCGTAAAGTAAGAACACACCAATTTAGATTGGTTCAGAAAGTCTCTGCTCCAATACCTCGAGGGTCCTCCTCAAAGATTTCCGAATCCTTTAAGCTCGGTCTCTTGAACTCCGTCAAAGCATCGCACTAGTTTGGCAAATAACCCTTGTCAATAAGATTCACTTCGAGATTTCACTACTGCTATCTCAAACCGCTTACAACGAAAATTTCACGGCTATCTTCCACCATTCCTCCAAGGATTTGAAGGCTGTCCTCGAACCTTTACCCAAGGATTTCTTAGCTATCCTTAACCGTCTAAATGCGGATTTATAGGGATTGTTGAAGACTTGTCGTAAGGTCCAAAACAAATTAAAAATTTATAAAACAACCTTAGCTAACCCCCAAAATATAATCAAATAAAACTATAGCTAGGGCAAGTAAGGGTCGATCCCACGGAGAAAGTTTATACTTTTGAAATCATTTAAGCATGCACACACATTGTCACTAAACAAAATAAACTCACTACTACATCTCATTGTCACTAAACAAAATACGGAGTAAAACTTATAACTAAACTTATAAATATAACTTATAAAAACAAAGAACTTATAATATAACTTATAAACATAAAACACATACTAAAAATATACTAAAAAAAGTATAAAAAACTTATATTCAAAATAACTTATAAACAAACACTTATAATATAACTTAGTAAAAAAAACTTATGCTAATATAACACAAGGGGGGTTGAATAAAAAAGTAAATATTTTTTTTGTTTTTTATTTTTCTTATTTTTTTTGGTTTTTTGATAAAATGGGGGGAAACAAGCTCAAAAATAATCAAACCCTCCAACAAAGGTAACCTAAAAAACACCGCCTAGAACCCGAAACAAAATGAAAAAGAGAACAAACATAAATAGAATATTACACGTATAATAGGCACGTAGACGATTCATTTCCTTAACCACGATATAGAGTATTGTCAACTCTCCACACGGCCCGGAGTCATGCAATTCAAAGGTCCGTTTTGAAATATACCTTAAAACCCCAACTCTCTATTCAAGCATGAAAACATACTTCCACTATAGAAAAAGTTTATAAAAGAGAAAATCTATTATGCATTCAACTCTCATACATAATCTATTCACAAACTGCCAATATCTTATGTATTTTAACTAGGGGTGGACACGGTACCGGTACAGTACCGGTACCGGAAACGGTACCGCCGGTTCCGGTACCGTTACCGTCGGCCGGTACGGTCCACCGGTTCCGGGAACCGGTACCGGTACCGCCCAATCCGGTACCGGTTCCGGTGCCCATTTTTCAGTACCGGCACCGGCGGTTCCGGTTCCGGTACCGTTACCGTTTTTTTTTATTTTTTATTTTTTATATCATTCTTTCCTTTATCAATTTCATTTTTAGATTTTTTTATTTCATCATTTCCTTTAACAATTACACATTTACAATTTTACATTTTAAAAATATAATAAAAAAGCAAAAAAAAAAACAAAATTAGGGGTGGCCGAAACGGTACCGGAACCGTCCCGGAACCGTACCGTGTCCACCCCTAATTTTAACAAACTTTTTCTCCTAATGATGAGCACATTTCACATATTTCCATGAACTTCTCAAACCAATGACGTTTTTTCTATTCACATAGATGAACACAACATATTTTCAATAAATCGAGAGTTGTTTTTGAGCTTAAACAACCTTAAATTTATGAAAATAACAAACAAACACATGAAAACATAACAAAATAACTCCTTAACGAATTCTTAGGAAAATGAATCAACTTATGGGGCCAAGAAGTCCAAATTCCTTAAAATCAACGAACACAAGGCACAACAAAGAATCACGTATGAATCCGGACTTCATTTAACTACCTTATGGAGCTAAAATAGTGTCAAGGAACCAACTCAACCAAAAGCTCAAGCTTGTGGTTGTGGCCCAGGAACAGTTGCAGACATGGTTGTTTTCGAGCCTTGCACGTGAAATCTTAATTTTTTTAAACTGGGTGGCGCTGAGTTTCAAACCTGTGACCTCTTAGTCAACGAGGCTCTGATACCATGTCAAGGAACCAACTCAACCAAAAGCTCAAGCTTGTGGTTGTGGCCTAGGAACAGTTATTTATATTCTAACAAATAGCTTCAACAAAAACCGAATTCCACATACCAACCTACTTATGAAATTAAATTATGCAATTCAACCAATTTTTTTTTTGAAGTCGCAATTCAACCAATTGAAGAATAACTTGCTCAATAATTGAAGAAAAACTAGTTTGAATCAATTTTCAAGAATTTAATATAAACATTAAAGAAAAAACCCATAAAAGAACACCAATCAGTTTTGAAATTAACACAACAAGCAAACAAACATGTAAAAATTGAACATAAAGCAAACTATTACATAGAATTGGAGAGAAAAAATAAAAATTGACAAATATAGGTTACCAATTGGAGAACAAGATGAAAATGAAGAATAGGAGCTGTGATGGAACCATGGTCTTGCCTCTTCCCGGAGCTACTGCCACCGCCGGCCATCGCCGGACGCCGTCCATCTCGCCGGTCGCCGCCACACGTAGGTCGCAGCGGCCATAGCCGCTGCTACTGCCACCGCCGGCCATCGCCGGACGCCGTCCATCTCGCCGGTCGCCGCCACACGTAGGTCGCAGCGGCCATAGCCGCTGCTCTGTTCTCTTTTTTTCCCTTCGTTGTTTCCCCCTTTTCCTTATTTGATGTGTGTCGTCTATTTATAGTAGCAAGGAGCGCTATTTCCCGTTGAAGATTTATTTACGTTGCTGAATTGAATGAGGAGCGTAGGAGAAGGAGAGACGTTGGAGGCTTGGTCTTCGCTGTGGTGAAGAAGAGAGAGAAGCCGACATTTCTATTCTCAGTTCTTTTTTTCCTTTGTTCGTGAAACTGAAGAGGTGTGAGGAGAGAATGCTGGGCTGCTCTTTAATTTTGGGTTTGGGCTCCGGCCCAAAATCAATCTCTTTTTTCCAAACCTGAATTGCATTTTGGGCTTCTGCTATATTTTTTTCTAAAAAATAAGATATCTGATTATTTTGGGTTAGGGAAACTAAAAATAATATGATGTAAAAAATGATTAAAAACTACAATTTTTGAAAGAAAATAAAAAGAATTTAAAAATAAGAATTAAAATAAAACTAAACTAAAAAACTAAAAATTAAATGCTAAAAATATTTAAAATGCCTAAAAAACAATAAAAAGTACTAACCCAAAATTGACTTATCAGGGATATTTTTGACCGTAAAAAGGTGTGTTTCAAGAACACAAAATATGGGTTCTACACAACGGCTTGATTACAAAGATGAACAACCAAACTTAGTAGATGTAGAACAAAAATATAATCTCTCAAAAATACAATATAAAGTTATGAATATGAGAGTATATATATATATCTAAAACACAAGCTCAAAAGTGTGTGTATAAAAGTTAGGAGAATAAGGCTTTTGAAATAGCCAAAATATAAACAATTAAGAATAAAAAGATGAACACACTTAAAATATAAAAGTAGAATGTTTGGAGCTTTATTTCTTGTTTAAATATAAAGGATTAGGCTTGTATTTATAGTGGAAAACGTTAATTAGCCATTGGGAGGTGATAAGTGTTGATTTAATTTAAAATCAGCAATCAGGAACAGTCACTCCAACGGTTCCGGTACCTGTTCACGGTAGCTAGGTACCGTACGGTAGCTAGGTACCTTCTTAGGCTAAAACTTTCTTGCGGTAGCTGTCCTCTTACGATACTTGTTCCGATAGGGGGTCCTGGGCTAACGGTAGGGGGTACCTTCTCAAGCTGACTAACAGTACCCCTTACGATACCTTGGTACCTGCTGACCATTTTGATGATTTTTTCATTTTTTTTCCAAATCATTTCCAATTTTGTTTGAAACCTTTTGGATGTTTGAAAATGACTATAAGAAGGTTTAAAATATATTTTGTGAGTGCATTTGAGCTTCTGAATATAGGTATTGTTCGCCATGTAAAAAATTCGAGAACACCTCTACTCACCCCCCACTATAGGTATATAAAATCATATCCTTACATTTGTTTCTACCTATATTCTATGCTAGTTTAGTGTTTCGACTTCATTCTCGAGAACCAAATCTTAATGCATTCTTGTTATACCTGAAATACTTAAACAAATGTTTAGCTCTTATATTGTTTGTTAACATCAAAACACATAGCTTAGATAACCAAGGCTAACATAGTGTAGGTTTAATACCCCGTGTTAAGATGGAAAGAGAAAGAGCTCAAAAGGATTAATAGTACTACTCATACCAATAAGATGCATCTCGTTTTCAAGAGCTCATCACTTAAAACTCCAAAGTTAAATGTACTAGACTTGGAACAATTCTAGGATGGGTGACCACGTGGGAAGTTCCCTGGGCATGCACAAGTGAGAACAAAGTGCGTGAGAAAGACTTGTGCTGATTTATTGGCCAAGTTTACAATCCTATGAGCATACACTTCTGGCTAGGGTGGAGGCTGGGTGTTACAAATGGTATTAGAGCAATCCGGTGACCGTGACGGGCCAAGAAGCATAGTTCACCTAGCAGGGAAGATCTAGGGGGTTAAAAAAGGATGCAATGAGAATGTTGCATTCCTAAGTGAGGGTAAATGTAACACCCCATGTTAAGATGGGAATGAAAAGACCTCAAAATGATTGATGATACTACTCATACCAACAAGATGCATCTTCTTTTTGGGAGCTTATCACTAAGAAATTCCAAAGTTAAGCACGCTGTACTTGAAACTATTCTAGGTTGGGTGTCCCCTTAGGAAGTTTCATGGGCACACACAAGTGAGGACAAAGTGTGGGGGGAAAGACTTGTGTTAGTTTGTTGAGCTTGTTTACAATCCTATGAGCGTACACTTTCGACCATGATGGGGGCTGGGGTGTTATAGTAGGACAATGTGAACTTTTAATTAGGTAAAAAAAGATCACTACTCTTATTTTAATATTTTCATCAATTCTACTCTTATTTTGGTATTTCTCTCTCGGCAAACTACTTTCTCCGTCCCACAAGTTTTGGGAAGAGATGGGATTTAAAGAATATGTAAGTTTGGTTTTACTTTCCAATTTTGTTTTACTTATACTCTTGATATTGCATAAAACATTTCAAGTTTCATACTACATGCAAAATCTAATCTAATTTAAAATATTTTTTATAAGTTGGTACAGAAATAAATAGTACAAATTACATATCAAAAAGTTGCATAAAGAGTTCTTATATAACAAGTAGTGAGAACAATATTTTATTTTACAAAATGATCAATGAAAAAATACATGCAAGCTAAAATAAAACTATCAAAGGCCTCAAATAGTAAGTAGAAAAATTTTATGGGACATAAGGAGTAAAAGAGTAGGTAATGAGATGATTGGTATATTGATAGTAATAGAAAGTAATTGAAAATTTAATTATTTTTAAGACGGAAAATGCTAGAGTCACAAACTTAAAGGTCACAAACTTCACAAACTTGTCTTTTGTGAAATTTAAATTAAAATATTTTTTAATATTTGAATGCATCTTATTTCTAGAAAAGTATTAAAAAAGCAAGTTTGTGAATTTTGTGAACTGTTTGTTTGTCACTTTAGCATTAGTCTAAAGAATGAAAAGTGAAAGTGAAAGTAAAAGGTCTTTTGGAATGGGATGATGATTGATGGGGGTAAATTTCACCAATGGTACCTGAACTTTAGCTATAATTTCGAAGTGGTACCTGAACTTCAAATCCTTTCACAAAAATCCCCCAACTTATACAATCCTTTCACTAATGAGCCATTAGCCCGTTTCTAGGTCAAATGCCGGTTACCATCCGACGTGGGTGCTGTTATGGATGCTGAATCACTTCCCCTACCTCACTCTCTTTCCTCCTCACCTATTTCGTAGCATATAAACCGGCTCTGCACTCCCAAATCGCCACCCCTTTACCCGATAATTGCCAGAACCCTAATTTAGGAAAATGTCCAGCGTCTCAAGCAACAACAGCCATGGCATGCAATTCGCGAGGTGTAGATGCGGAGAAAAGGCCGTTCTGAAGACAGCTTGGACTGAATCAAATCCTGGAAGGAGATTTCTGGGCTGTTCAAATTATGGGGTAGGTGTTTTGAAATTTTCAATTATTTGAGAGATTACTTCCATGGGTTGAGACACTCTGAATTTTTTTTAATTTTGATCTTGTTATGCAGAGGCATAACTTTTGTAAGTATATGGAGTGGATAGATCCAGAAGTTCATCCACGTTATCGTGAGGTCATCAATGGTTTGCTCCGGAAGATTGACAATTTAGATACGAAGGAGGCTGACAAGAAGACTGTGAAAGGATCTACAAATAAGGGGTTTTGGGTACTTGCTGTGGCATTTGTATTTTTTTTTATTTCTTTCTGGTGCAACACCAGTTGTTGTAAAGGGCATTAGAATATGTTGGTGGGTGTTGGGATGTGTTGTACTTTGCTTGGAAGAATTCTGATGTTTTCTTAATCCTTGTACTTGTGTAACTTATGTGCTGGAGTATTTATGTACTACTATCTTGTACTTTAATGACATATTTGCAGTGTTGTTGATCCAAGTCAACTGTCAATCCTTTTTTTGTAAATGCATTGAAGCTGCAATTATATTCTTATGAATTACTGAAGTGTGCAAAAAATTTACCAAAGAAATAAGGCATTGAACCTGCATTTTTACATATACAAAAGCCTTATATATTAAGGCAAGAGTATCCACAAAAAACCTAATGGCATTTCTGCTGAGTTGTGCTAAAGAACAAACCCAAAATTCACAACACCAGCCATGAGTTTACTTCAGAATGCCAT